TATACATATATATATATATATATATATATATATATATATTTGCTGTTGTTAACTGCCATTGAGTCAGTTCTGGCTCATACATACAACCCCATGTACAACAAAATGAAACACTACCCAGTTCTACACCATCCTCACAATCCTTCTTATACTTGAGCCCATCGTTGCAGCCACTGTGTCAATCCATCTCATTCAGAGTCTTCTCCATCTTCACTGATCTTATACTTTACCAAGCATGATGTCCTTTTCCAGTGACTGGTCCCTCCTGATAACCATAGTATGAGAGATGAAGTATCTTCACCCTCACTTCTAAGGAACATTCCTCTGTACTTCTTCCAAGACATATTTTTCTTTCTTCTGGCATTCCATGATATATTCAATATTATATTCAATATTCTTCACCAGCACCATCATTCAAATGCATCAATTTTTCTTCGGTCTTCTTTATTCATTGTCCAAATTTTACATGCATATGAGACAATTGAAAATACCATGACTTGGGTTAGGCTCACTTTAGTCTTCAAAGAAACTTTGTTGGTTAACACTTTAAAAAGGTCTTTTGAAGCAGATCTGCCCATTGCTTCTATTTCTTTCTTTCTGATGTATTATTTATTTAATTTTATTCAGCTTATGATTATCTCCTATAGCACCTAGTACTTTGCCAATAAAATAATAAAAAATAATAATCCACTGCTACTGTCAATTCCAACTCCTAGTGGCCCCCCATTGGGTTTCCAAGACAGCAAATCTTTATGGAATTAGATTGCCCAGTCTTCCCTCCATGGAGTGGCTGGTGGGTTTGAAACGCCAACCTTCTGGTTATCAGTCAAATAGCTTAGCCACTGTGCCACTAATGATTGGTGGTTGAAGGGATAAACGGATAAATATGAAAATGAAAAGGATGATTACTAGAGAAAAATTAATTGAGACATTTACAGCATTAGATTTCAAATTAACTTTTATCAATTAATGTATTTTTAGGAGAAAAACACAAAAATGAAATTTAATAAAAGTAATCTCACATGACTATTCTCAAGTTAGAAAAATAAACTCAAATTCTGCAAAATAACTATTTTATGTAACTTTGAGAGAGAAATGGTGAATTGCAAGTGGCCTGGGTAACAGAATCATGCAGAGATATGGAAACAAGGACGTTGTTAGGATTCATAAATATAAGGCAAAACTGAACCTATTTTGGAATAAGACTAATACATTCAGTATCGTAATGGAAGAAAAGAACCCAAAATTTTCTGAAAGCCTACTACGTAGCAGATATGAGTATTTTTAGACAGAGTGGTATATTTGTCATTTAGTCCTCCCAGCAGCTCTGAAGTATGTATTATTATATGCAGCTAAGAAATCATAAGATTAGAGATGTAATTAATGACTTCAAAAACATAACTAGTGAGGATTGGAACCCAAATTCAAGTGACAATCTACTTTTATTTGAATGGAAATATACCCATGGCCATACATAGTTCTGGCAGATGATATTCCTCCGTATGTATTTGTATGTGCTACGAAAATGTCCATATGCAGTTTAAAGCTAACAAATGGCAAAGTTACTGAACCACAACTAAGCACTTTGAGGGAATTAGTTGCTGGCTTGTGGGCTGGGGACAATAGTTGCAGGGGACATCAAGCTCAATTGGCACAACATAGTATACAAAAAAAAAAAGTTCTACACTTTCAAGGTGTGGTGATTGGGTGTTAAAACTTGTGAGTGGTCATTTAAGATGCAACTATTGGTCTCTCCTCATGTGGAGCAAAGAAAGAGTGAAGAAAATCAAAGACAAATAGAAACAGTCCAAAAGACTGATGGATCTTGGGAACCTCAGCCTATATGACCCAAAAGAACTAGATGGTGCCTGGCTACCACCCAGAAAGGGATCAAAATCGGAGATCCTGGATAGAGTGGAAAAAAAATGTGGAACATAAGTCAATTTTAAAAAAAAAAAAAAGTAAGGATCAGACTTACTGGTCTGATGGAGACTGGTGTAACCCCAAGGCTATGACCCCGAGTAACCCTTCAGGCCTTGGCTTAACTCTCAGCCAAACAATAGATAGGCCTAGACCAGGGAAATTCACTCCTTAGAACAATCAACTATGGGAGATCAGATGGGCAGCATTTGCACAGGGAGAAAAACAGGGAGGCAGGAATGCATAGGCAAGAAGGACATGGGGAAAGGATAAACAAGGGAGGAAGTGGGAGGAGAGCTATTACACATGGAGGAATGTAACCAGTTTCATAAAACAGAATATGTACAAATTATTGAATATACAATGATTCTGCTTTGTAATATTTCATCCAAATCACAATAAAGAGTTAAAGAAAAAAGTCTACCTTAGTCCAAACTGCATGTTCTTTCTGGTAAGTCACATACAAAATATCCACTATCCGGTAGTTTCAAGGCAAAAAATCGACATCACCTTAGTTCCTCCTCATCTTTTACCCCTCACACCTAATCAGTAATCAAGACTTGCGTACTCTATCTCCTGAAAATATCCCGGAAATTCATTTCCTCTTTCTAAGCTTATTGCCATCACCTTGGTTCAGCCTTCATCTTCTTTCCTGCAAGCAAAGGTAATAATAGCCTCTTAACTCATTCCCCCATACCCTCTTTCATTCATTGCAGTTTATTCTCCACAAGGCACCCAGTGTAATCTTATATAATGCATATCTGATCACATGACTCCAATGCTGAAAACATTGCTAGGTCTTCTCATTATTCTTGGGTTAAAGTTTGAAATCTTTGACATGACCTATAAGACCTCTGTGAACCATCTTTAGTTGCCTTATATAACCTCATTTCATGCTACTTTGCACATTATTTTCTACACTCCAACCCTGGTAAGTATTTTTTCCTCTTATTTCCTCTTTCACCACATAGCCTTTGCTGTTTTCTCTTGCTGGAATGAGCCTCTTATCCCTCTTATTTTACCTAGCTTTTTTTTTTTTTTTTTTTTAATTTGATTTCCACTTCTTAGCTTAAAAGTGACTTCCTGTGTGAGTCTATTGACCTCCAGGTCTCAGTTAAATCCCTTTTCTATGTGCTTCTACAACACTTTGTACCTCTACATTCATTTTACCACATCGGTTTTTACTCATTTAAAACTCTGAAAGCAAGATTACAGCTGACTTTTTTTCCCTGACGAATCACCAGAATACAATACAGTGATGAGTGAATGGTAACGTTTCAATTAATATTTGCTGATTCCTGTGATAATTTATTAAAAAATTAAAAACAAGTATTAAAAAAGAAGTCTTTCAAGTGAACATCTCAATATTTGAATGCTATTTTATTGTCAATGAAATCCCTCTTAGAAATGTAATCAAATCCTCAGACTTGGCTGAGTATGTGGTGAGTGGTAGACCAGATGACTCAGTGCTTCTATAGTATGCCATACTGACCTGTGGTTATGCTGGTGTGCTAGGAAACTAGACCTAGGAAAACTCCTTTCATCCCATTCTCACAAGATCATGTGTCACAGGTTAACTGTGGAAATGTGAAATTCTCAGACAGCATATAAGTTTTTCATTTACATATATGTTAATGAATGAATTCCATAAATGATTATTATAGAAATCATATACCCATACATTGTGCAAAGTATTAAACAAATGTTGTTAAGGAAGATAAGCAAGATCATTGCCCTTGACAAAGATGAAACTCTTCTCCTTTAGTTCAATTCAGACCCTAGATGTAATCAGAAGATGTTCATTCAGGCATTGAATAGACATGCATAAAGTAGCTGTGGACTTGGGGAAGTCATATTTACATTCATGAAATTATTAGAGGACAATAATAATAGCTTTGTGCTATAAAAAGATAATTGCTATACTATAATAATCTCAAGAAAGAATACCTTGGTCTCTATTTCATCATATCCCCTAAATATATAATTGGAATATTAAATTGATTGATTTGAATTGTCTACCATCATGAAAGAGATGGATGAAAATGTATTAATCATAATATATTCACACATAACCAAGAGTCTTTTCTTTGTTTTAATGGTTTAGGTACATGTCACTGTGGCAGGTGTAAGTGTGATAATTTAGATGGAAATGGACTTGTTTATGGTAAATTTTGTGAATGTGATGACAGAGAATGCATAGATGATGAAACAGAAGAAATATGTGGAGGTATGTATATTAACAATTCAGAAATGTATAAAACCACCTATCTTTTCCACATGTTCCATCATATTTTTATATCTACCTAAATTTCTGCACAGAGAATAATAATTTAGTCTGAGCCCATTCATATTTATTTGGAAAACACTCTATATAAGGAGTTGGACTAGGGCAATCAGAGGAGACTGGTCCTTTTTGAATGCAAAACAAGATTTTACCCAGAGGAGAGCCAGACAATTATGGCAGTAGGCCAACTGCAGAGCTCTGAAGTATTTCTAGTGGTCCTTGTTCATTTTTGCTCATCTTAACTGTTTTTATTTTGTCTCTTTTCTCCTATCTCTCAATTCCGTTTTAACTTCATTTTCTTTCTCTTTCTAAACCATAAACCTTTGGAGAACTCATAGTCATATGCCCTGTTGGGGGCATCTTTGGCCAATAGCAATGCTAGTCTAGAATTTTGTTCTACATTTAAGTAACATTTTTCATGGCCTTTTGTGTGTGCCATAATGATCATTTTTTTGTTGTTTTGTACTGGTTATTGTACGTTTGCTAGAACCAAGCATTGTAGTAAGTACTTTACATTCATTATATTAAGTTTCATTCTAGCATAAGGATTATCTTTATCCACACAGAGAGATGTGGAAACTGATGCTTGAATAAAGTGGTAACTTGCCCAGGATCATTGAGCAGTTATCAATGAAACCAGTATTCAGATCTAGGTCTATCTCAGTCCACAGATTGTGCTCCTGACCCCTCATCATACAGAAGAACATCCGTGCTCAGGACTTTATAGAGCTCCCATGAGAAGAACCTCTTCTTATCACCTCTAGTTTCCATTTCTTCAGTTTACCTAACTCTGCAACCTGATCAAAGAGTTTCAGTGAGCTGCCTGGACTGGTACCAAGAATGGAGATTAGAGAATGATGACAATCATTGTACTTATTTAGATAAATTCTCCTCTGCTATTGTAAAATATATTTAGCTGGGTTGTCTCTGGCCTCATATCTTTGCTGATCAGTGATTGATTATTTCATTCATCTCTGACAGGATTCCACTCACTCCTGTCCTGATTGTGGAATGGGTGATTTCAGAAATTTGTCCTGAAAGGACTGGGGATTAATGGGACCAGAAGAACTAGAGTGCCCTAGAGAATATGTCATTCACAAAAGACAAACTTGTATCTGTTTACATTTCTGTAAAGTTGGTCCTTGTGGCCATCCAAATATGCTTATTTCAGACTTCACTTTTCCTTTCCCATTGCTGATCCTCCTTGCAACTACACAAACTACCAGAAGAAAACAAACAAAAACAACCTCTGCTTTGTTTTTGAAGCCAGTAACATAAGCTAGCTGCTGTTGCCCGAATACAACTTTCTTAAAGGGCTCAGTCCAAAATAATTAAAACATTTAGGCGAATTCACCCACAAAAAAAGTATGTATTTATCCTCTTGGTGTTTCAGATACAATTATTTTAAGTCACAAAGAAGGAACAGAAAATGCTTTGCAGCAAATGTATTCTGACACACACAACCAAAACTAAGTCTATTTGCATGTGTAACTATAAACATTTAACTTGAACAATACAACATGAAGTGTTTAGCTCTAGACCTTTCCACTTGTTATTTCCATTTGTTGGAGGCTTAATCAATTTCATAGTGCAGTCTCTGACTAAGTATACCAGCACTCCAATAAACATCCTCTGGGGGTGACATTGCCTAGGATTGTAGACCTTTACACTTGTTATTAGCATGAAACAAATTGAGAAATTATTCTGCAGCCTATCAGTGAGGGGATACAAATAGGGATTTTCTTGCTCTGCCAATTTACCCTACGGAATTGTGTTTATTATGGAATATACATTGCCCTAGAGCTTACAGTGTATTTCAATTATCCAGATACCTTATTACAATATTTTCATGTGTGCTATGTGGATATTTGTTTAATTGAAAGTATAGGTTTAGGTGATTTTTGTTTCCTTACTCAACTTCATCTAAATGGTTTCTCAGTAACGCACTAATTAAATGCTGATTATTTCATAATATAAAAAGAATTTGGATGTGATGAATATAGACTTACAACCCTTTTTAACATCATTGTAATCAATGCCTATGTAGCATCTTAGGTATAAATTTCCTGAAATGGTAAATGAAAGACATTCTACAGTCTAAGAAGTTAATCAAGTCTTACGACTCCTAGGAAAAGCTTTAATATAGAGTTGTCTTTTTTCTTTTTCCTCATGTAATGCCTGAGTTTCTGAGGCCTACAATCTATCATTGGAATATGATTTTGTCATAAGAGCATATAGAGATATTTTTAGGCTTGTAAATAATACGTTAGAGTTCTTGGGTGGTATACATGGTTAAGCAACCTGCCAATAGCCTTGAAAGACAGGCCTAGTGATCTGTTTCCAAAAGCTCTTGAAAACACTATTAAAAAGAAAAGAAAACCAAACTCACTGCCGTTGAGTCGGATTCAACTCATAGCGACCCCTCCTTGGGTTTCTTAGGTGGTATCTCTACAAAGTACATTGCCCAACCTTCTGTTCTTTACACATGGAGTCACTATGAATCTAAATTGCCTTGACAGCAATGAAATACAACAAATGACATATATACATGGTATATTTTCGTGATTGATGAAATAATTTGCTTAAACAAATGAGTTAAAAATTAAAATTTGTTGTAGAAATGGTTGTTGTCTATGAAGTTAAGGAGAAATCTTTTGTGGATATCCTGATTACTGAGACAGAAAACCTGGCATGTTGTGCCTTTTTCTCTGCATCTCACTGCAAAGCTGTTTCTCTTCATGTCATTCTCTCTTTTTGATGTATGTTTGCTTGAAGGAAGTCTCATCTGATGAACAAGAATAGCATAGTACATCAGAATGTTCTATCATATTACTTCCTTCTCATGTGAGGTTCAAGGGCCCCACTGACATTCTTGCCATTGACCAGAGATGCCATAGAATTTAGGTCAGAAATCACCTCACACTGTTTCCCATGACGTGTCTGGGATTATGGCTGTAAGAGAAGAGAGAGAAACAACAAAAACTTTGGCCATAGACTCCTATAAAACACAAATAATAGACTGAAAAACAAAAGCCAAGGTGACCTTGATTTTCATCATTTTCAAAAGAAAAAACATATATATTCATGTCTGGATGGTATAACTACAAACAAAGGAGAGGAGAGGAAGTGAACTTTGAGGCAAATACCATTGTTAGGTTTTGGAGGACATAAAAAGGGGTAGTTAGACATAGATGTGCAAAGTAATGAAGTGTCAAGTTTTTATGGATCTCCTGGAGCTCTGGTGTCATAGTGCCTAAGACATTTGACTCCTAACCAGAAGGCTGGAGGTTCAAACCCACCAGCCACTCCTTGGATGGAAGGTTGGGCAATATACTTCCGTAGCGATACCGCCTCGGAAACCCAAGGAGGGTGGCTATGAGTCAGATTCAACTCACTGGCAGTGAGTTGTTTTGTTTTTTTTTAATCAAAACACAAAAGAACACGGTAACAGGTTATACAAAGGTGGGAGCCAAAAAAGTGTGATGGTGTGTCTGGACACGAATGACAGGTGCACTCTAACCTATCATTTGTATCCCCTTAACAATTAGTATGGGAGTTGGATTGTGAGACCAAGGGTCCATCGTGTTTTATCACTCCAAACGAGCAGTAAACATTGATTTGGCTGAAAATCTGTTTTCTGTGTGGTAGAACACAACAGATTGTGAGATGCAGTTGAGTGAAAAGATGAAATATTTATTTTGCTTTAAAAATGATCCAGTCATTAATATTGTGGATATAAGTTAATATGCACCATTGGTTTCTCAATAGTTGGTTTCTAATGAAATGTTGTCATGACTAATTCAAGAAATGCCCTTAGAGTGAATGCTTATGTACATTTGAGTTTGAGGCACACATTTGAGATTCCAAAGTAATGTACTTTCAGGTAATTTATTTTTAAAATATTCATGCTTTAATCTATTACCTGACTAAGGCAAATTAAAGGACACTTTGTTTGCTTTATTTGTGTGTTTTGGTAAGTATAGACACAATTGTGGTGTTTGGAGGGCAAACTATGTGCTTTGATTATTTGAAGTAAGGAATGTGAAACGGTTACTTTATTTCAAAGGCAAAAATGTTCAAGAAGAGGTAGACAGTTAATTCTGCCTTTAAAATTTGCTTTTTTTCCTCCCTGTATAAAATTCATTTTGGGTAAAGGCCATGGAAAGTGTTACTGTGGAAACTGTTACTGTGAGGCTGGTTGGCATGGAGATAAATGTGAATTCCAGTGCGACATCACCCCCTGGGAGAGCAAGCGAAGATGCACATCTCCAGATGGCAAAATCTGCAGTAACCGAGGTGTGGCATTCATACACGTTACTACGTAATTGGGAGGAAAACAAAGCTCTTAATTCTTAATGCTCCTTTTCTCTTTTCCTTTCCTGTGAGAGGAAGTCATCTTTTAAAGTTGTTTACTTTAATGTAAATCAACATTTGCCGTACAAACAATCTTCTCTTTCTTGTTTTATATTGAGAAGAAAACACAAAGATCTGTCATTCTTTTAGCTTCAATGAACAAATAGTTAACACAGGGGCTGTAATTTCTTTGGCAGCCATCCAGAAATACTACAATACAGCTAAAAGGCAATTCTTGTAGATACTTCTGTTAAATGTCTCTTGACTAACAGAACCATCTACGCCATGAGCATCTAATTATCCAGAGAGCATTCAGAAAACTCTCTTGTCTTAATTATGGGTAAATTGAAGGCTTGGTTGAAAGTCGGAATTGATGTACACTCATTTAACTTCTAAATGCAATGATAAAAATCTGATATTGAACACAGGTAATACAAATACTATGCATCAAATTTAATATTTCCACCCGTAAAAAAGACAGCACACAGCCCTATGAAATTTAGACTGACTTTAGACATGAGTTTAAAAATCATATTTTTTGTTGTTGTTGTTGTTGTGTGCCGTCGAGTCAGCCCCGACTCATAGCGACCCCTCCTTGGGTTTCCGAGGCAGTATCACTACGGAAGTAGGATTGCCCAACCTTCCTTCTGAGGGGTGGCTAGTGGGTTTGAACTGCCAGCCGTCTGGTTAGCAGGCAACTGTCTTAGCCACTATGCTACCAGAGCTCCCAAAAATCATATTAGTATTGATAAGTATGATTTAAAGGAAGTTTACTATTTGTTTTTCTCAAATTATACAGCTTCAAACACATTTTAAAAATTCCCTGAGAATAATTGCATTCAATATTCCTTCCTTTACATTGGACTTTTATTTGTCTACTTGATGATATAAGTAAATGGTCATATTTCCTTCTATAAACTTATAAAATCTAGGTAGCTGGAAACGAGTCAGAATTCACTTGACAGCACATAACAACATGAATGGTTTATTTTAATAGATAATATTCACACAGACATTCTTAAAATACAATCAGTTTTATCCTTTTTGAAAATAAGATAGAAGAGTAAAATATGATACATTTATGATCCTATAGAAAAGAAAACAAAAGTTCTGAACTTGGAGTAAAATTCAAAAAAAGCGTTTCTTTAATTTATGCAAAATGGATATAACTATAAGTCACAATAATTCACTTTAATATATTATATAAAGACATTTTTTTACTTATGTTATTTTTATTCAATATGTTTGAATTCGGGAGCTCTGGTAGCGTAGTGGCTAAGGCAGTTGACTGCTCACCAGAAGGCTGGCAGTTCAAACCCATCAGCCACTCCTCGGAAGGAAGATTGGGCAATCCTACTTCCGCAGTGATACTGCCTCGGAAACCCAAGGAGGGGTCGCTATGAGTCAGGGCTGACTCGACGGCACATAACAACAACAACAACATGTTTGAATTCATCATTATGATGAATGTAGCATCATTTAGGTACTACTGAAAAGAGAGAAAAGAAAAGTGAAATTGATTGGGCTATGCATAAGGGTTGGGCGTGGCACCAGAGATATGTGACCTCTGAGAGATAGCAGATGTCCTTTAGAGAAATACAGGCCTTAACTTCCCATCTGGTGGTGTAGTGCCTAAGGCATTTGGCTGGTAACCAGTAGGCTGGCAGTTCAAACCCACCAGCCACTCCTCAGAAGGAAGACTGGGCAATCTACTTCTGTAGTGATACTTCCTCAGAAACCCAAGGAAGGGTCTCTATGAGTCGGATCCGACTGAACAGCAGTGAGTTTGAGTTTAGTTAACTTCCCATCTATCAGCCATCTAGCTTCCTGTCTCCCACCTTTCCCTTGTGCCTAAGGATTTCTATGTTGGCCAACTAGCCAAAGCATGTAGGAAGCAGAATGCCTTAATAAGACTTACTGCTAGTGAGAATGAGGGCTATATGAAGATGGGTCAGGCACCATCATTGAAATGATCAATGTTTTTCTCCAAAGATACCAGATGTGTCTACCCTAGGACTCCATCCTTAACAGTACTTTCCTAGGTAGGAGAGTGACACTAGTCCCTGCACATGCCTAACTTTTCATCTTTTTTAGCCCATCTTCAGGGGCCAAAAGAACAGTGTTGCAAACCAAACTAAATGATGGTAGAATTTCCTTTATTAAACATATGATTTATTCAGTTTCACATTGAAGCTATTCCACACATGCCTTAGAAATTTCTTCACTGAAACAGCATGACTGGTAGCTCTCTTTCCTGTCTCTTTATTTATAATATTATGAAAGCAATGAGATCTATTTTTCAAAAATCCAGATTATAAAATAGGTGTAATGAAGAAAAAATCAAGGGTCATAATACTAACATCCAGATATAACCCCTTTTTACATTTTATTACATGACTTTGTCTGTTTTTCTTTCTTTTTTTAAATTCCTCTGTGCCTTCCATAAACATGTTCATATTTTAAATACAAAAATTCAATCATGGTATATATACTGATTTATTATTTTTGTTTTCATTCATTTTGGGTATCTTTCCATGTCCACAAAACTGAAATGCAAGCATTACTTGTAATGACTGCGTAGAAGCCCGTACCACACATATACCATTACTACAGTAATTCCCCATTGATCACTATTTAGGTTATTTTTAGCTGTTTTGTAACATAAATGCCACCACATTTAAATTCCTGAACGTGCACATTTGTGTACTTTTCCTTTCATTTGGATTAATTCATTGAAGTAGACTGCTATGCCAAATAAAAAAGACATTTTAAAAATATATATATTGTGAAACCACCACCCAGAAAGTTGTACCAGTTTGTGTTCTACTTGCAGTACCCACCATCCCACACCCTCAGTGGCTCTGGACACTTGCCATCTGTTTCACTTCTACCAACCTATCATCCCACATAATTCTAACTCAATAATAATAATCCTTCCACGATTGTTAATAATTCCTCCTTTCCTTACTAATAGTGGGCTCAGTGGTAAACAGGTTTCATGATTATTTATCATTGTTATTTCTCTACAGAATTCCCTATTGGTATTTTTGGGTGGTATTTTTTTGTTTTGTTTTGTTTTTTGCTTTTATACATTTTGTTTTTGGCATATTTATTATTTACATATTACTTGTAAGAATTTTAATTTATTTGTGAAAGTTGCTCCTTGTCTTTTACATACACATGCCTATTTATTCCATTTTGTATAGTCTTAATTTGTTTATGACATTTTGCTCCCAACTAAACATTTAGATCTTTCTTGTAGTTAAAACTACTCTTTCTTTTCCTTTTAGTAATTCTGCATGCAGGCTTTGTTTAAAAAGGCATATCCTTCTTATTCTATAGGTCTATTTTATATACTTAAATGTTTAACTGAAATTTATTTTGATGTAAGAGGTGAGAAGGAGATTTAACTATTTTTTTTCTCCTAAAATAATTAACTGGTTCCCCTAAGGACAAATACTGATAATCCATACAAAGTAAACATGATTTATAACTGAGCATTTTGCTGCTCACATCTCCAAATATCTCTCTCAGCCTGATTTCCAAGGTCTTCTAAAATTTGGCTCTTCTGGCCTAGCAAACCTAACTTCTTAGTCTTCCTCAATCTTCTGCTCCAATGATACAGGGCTCCTCAGGATCCCCATACCTCTCCCTTCCCCACTTTGTTATCTTTCTCTCTGGATTTTCCTAGGGTCATTCTACCTCCAGTCTCTCTTATGAACCGTTTTCCCACCTCTCTACATTTCCAGACCGTTTACTCTGAAGTCCTACAGCCCACACTTAGCCTCCTTTCACAAAACACTCAGAGTGTTTATACCCTAGTTTACAAAATAGCAGCATTCATACTTTTTTGTTTGCTAACTTTTCCATCATTAGCATTCTTATCATCAATTAGATTATGAGCTTTTTATCAGGACAAAGATTGTATCTTTCATTAAGTGACACATCCCAAAATCTCACATAATTAGAGACATAGATAATAACTTTTGCCTATTTATTCAGAAATCTCTACTACCAGCATTAGAGAATTCTTTTCCTTTATAAAACAAACAAACAAACAACAACAAAAAAAAAAAAAAAAAAAAAACTCACTGCTGCCGAGTAGGATTTGAATATGAGTGTTTCCCAAAAACAAAGTAAGCAGAAAAAAAACAAAGTGATATTTAAGATGTTTTCTTCTATGATTTTTTCTTGACTAGACATATATATTTTTCCCTCCTAGGGATTTGTGTTTGTGGTGAATGTTCTTGCCATGATGTTGATCCCACGGGGGACTGGGGAGATATTCATGGAGACACCTGCGAGTGTGATGAAAGGGACTGTAGAGCTGTTTATGACAGATATTCTGATGACTTCTGTTCAGGTAAGTGCTATCCTAATTCCTAATTTTAAATAAAGTGATTCCATTTTCTTATTGGCAATATTTTCTCTGATTCTCACATAAACTATAAAACCAAACCAAACCCACTGCCATCAAGTTGATTCTGACTCATAGCAACCCCCATTGGCTTTCTAAAGCAGTAATTCTTTATGGAAGTAGATTGCCCCATCTTCCTTCTGAAGAGTGGCTAGTGGGTTTCAGCTGCTATAGAAGTAAATCTGCATTCTGAAGCATTGTATGTTTGCTGTATTTCTACTAGCAACTTGGGAAACCATCAGAGAATTCATGAATTTGGAAAAGACTAGATGTGAAAGTGCAGCTAACTCTAAATTTTTAACTGAAGATAACCAATAGCTCCAGATATCTAATACTGAACTCTGAGAATACAAACCACCACTCGTCTGCCAGTTTGTGATACTGGAGAGAATACATAGCTAATAGACTTGATGCCAATAAATAGGATAGCTTCCATTATGATATATATGTTATTATATTACAAAACTTGGGATGATATAATTCTCCAGGATATTTTTATGTTTTAATATCTTGATGGGGTGAGTGGTGGTTCAGTGGTAGAATTTTTGCCTTCCATGCAGGAGTTCCAGTTTCCATACCTGGCCAATGCATTTCAAGCACAGTCACCACACAGCTTTCAGTGGAGGCTTTTGCGTTGCTATGCTGCTCACCAGGATTCAGTGGAGCTCCCATACCAAGATGGACTAACAAGAAAGTCCTGGCAATCTACTTTTGAAAAATCAGACAATTAAAACCTTGCAGATCACAACTGTCTGATGTACATGGGGTCGCCGTGAGTTGGAAGCTGATGGGACAGCATCTAACAACAACAACAATACTTGACAGAATTTGTACTGAAATTATTCTAGATAGCTAGCCAAGAATTGACTATCAATTAGTGGATTAAATAATTGATTCTATAAATATTTATGGAGCAGATACTATTTGCCAGAGTCTGAGCTATGTCTGGAGTATTGGACCCAACAGTGAAACAGATAAGCATGATCCTTAATTTACAGAACTCATAATCTAAATGCAAACAAATAAATTCATCTTTCCAGAATTGTTAATGATTCAAATTGGAGAAGAAAGATATAGTCACATTTATCTGAAAAAAGCATCATTTAGTTTAAATGGAGTTGTGGATTTTCAGTCTGGTTCTATTTGACAATCCAGAAGTCAGAGACATATGGATATCCCTCTCTTTAAGCTTGACTGTTTGATTGGTGTGGATGAGCAGAAAAGTCTGCTGATGCCCTGAAAATGTGCCAGCAAGGGGAGATAAAGAGCTGACCCATGTCATTATAACTATGTAGCTTCAAATGCTTCTCTGACCTCACCAAGGAGAGTGCTGCTAAAACTTCACATTCCATAAGGGTTCTCTCTGATTGCCCCTCACACTTGGGAAGATTACCTAATCATTTTGTGAACACTGTCTTCTTGAGGGAATGCCCTTTTCAGATTTTGCTACTATTCATTATATTTTTGAATGTCCTTCATTATCATTATCAATAAAATGATAATAAAATAGTTAACATCTATCAGTGGATTCTATATGACAGACTGTGCTAAGCACTTTCTAGATTGTTGCACTTATTCTTCATAAAAACTTTTGAAGTAGGAAATATATTCTCTCTCATTTTGTACTTGAAGATACTGACACTCAAAGAAGTTGCCCAAAGTCCCAGAACTAAGACATAGAATCATAGTCTATGAATTTGAAGAAATTTAAATGTTTTTATTCTACTGATTGTCAGTTAAAGTGGGATTTAATACACCAAACATTTATTGAGACCAACTATGCCAGAGGGCCCATGTGAGATAATAGGGCAAAAAAAATCAAAAAGCTCTGCTCTTGAGAAATTTGCCATTGAACAAAGAAAACTGCCACATAAACATACAATTTAAATATACTATGGAATGGAAGATTTGCATATTCATGCATTTGTTTACTTTTCTCTTTAGACACTGGGGACATAGTATTGAACAAAATATAAAATTCTTGCCATCATGGAGTTTACATCCTTGTGGTACAGGAAAAACAATAAGTAAATATATCGTAAGTCAGTACTGCATATTTTTCATAATCATAGTACTAGGGATTGAAATAGGGCAGAGAAGAGTGTAGAGAATGTTGGAGGATGGGTATTTTTGACATTACAATTAGGGTGATCGGGCATCTCATGCAGGTGGTGTTGTATGGCTCAGATCACAATGCACCAGGGCCCTGCCTCCAAGGGTATGCTTACAGGTCAAGAGAGTTGAGAAGGGCATTCCAAGCAGAGAAATATGAGGCATGTGATATGTGCCAAGACTGGAATTAGTTTGATATTTCCAGAATGTGCAAGTGTGTGGTAGAAGTCCAGCTAGAGAAACATGAAATGGGAGGAGTTTTTATCCTAGACTTTATTCTAAAAGCAATGAGATGTGAGTGATGGTTTTAAGCAGGCATGTGATAATCACTAGTGTTCTAGTCCAGTCATCTGGGTAAATTTTAGAGCCATTTTACTGAAATGGTGAATATAGGTGGAAGTTGTCAAGTTTGGTTCTGGACACATCAAGTATAAAAGATCAATGGTAAATCAAGGTTGATATTTTCAATATGTTGTTCTGAAGTGTCAGAGATGAACATGAAAATTTAGAGCTATTAAAACTACACTGGGATTCAGGAAACACCATTTAAGAATATCATTTTAAGATTGTATATTTGATAAAACATGGATTCACATAATTGTAAAATAAAAACATAATGGACATAATCAAAACATATATAGACTGTAAATTGGTAGCTTTCTAATCTGGTGCCTTTTTTTATATAAAGTACATTGTTCCAGGTTAAACTCATGATTGCAAGTCTGATCTTGATTTCTGTAGTGGTGTTGAAAAATTCAAATAACTGTCAAGCTTGTGTACCTGTCAAGATCAGAGGAAACAGCTTATAGAACTGGTATATATAATTGAGTTAATATTGTGGTATTATTAAGCATAAGCTATGATGTCTCTTTCTCTACACACACATATGCTGGGGCATACATGCACATGCATATAATTGTGCACTGTTTTGTCTCATTTTAAGGAATGGCAGTATGAAGTGAAGATAAATAATGGCTCTTCAATCCTTTTATAAGCTTACAATTCCTGTTGCATGTTATTTAGGATTAGAGTTGTTACTATAACTTAGGCAGGTGAAGGAAACCTCTGTAATATGTAGTTTTCTACTCTACCTGCTCCGTGCTTCTGACTTTGGCCCTATTTTCCATTTTCCTCATATTTTTTATGCTTCCCTATGCTATGAGTTCTCGGGTAAAGTTAGTCGGTTGGGATTGGACAGGTTTGGCAGGGTGTTTGAGGAGTATTATCATGATAGGAGTTTGAGAGAGAACACTTAACCTCTTTATATGTGATCTCCATGCTGTAGTTAGAGACAAGGAAGAGTGGGAAAAAGTGATAGGGCAATAGAGTGTCATTTAAGCAATAAGACACCGGCCTGATAACTGTGGTTTACTAATCATTGGTTGAAATGAATTGAATGTGGCCTGCCCTCCACAGCCTGGCTCCCAATCTCAGAATGGTGAACTTAGGAAAGCAGAAAATCACATTAATAGACACCATTCCATGTTAGATCATTGCCAAGTTCCTTCACATATTGCATTCCATTATATTTCCAGGATAACTCAGAGAGGAAGATATCATTATCTACACATTAACATGTTCAGAAGAAACAGATTCAGAGAAATTAAGCAACTTGAAAAACTTCACACTACTATTAAGTGTCTTCTAAAAACTCAGGTAGCCCATGGTGATCCAACTAAAAATAATCTCACATTATTTCGTTAAGGAAGAGCTGTCCCCAGGTTGCTCAAAATTATTATCAAACTTACTTTTGTAAGGTTCTGTCAACATTCTTCTCATTTGAGGCAAGTACCAACCTCTGGAGTGTCACTTCAGTCTTACTAAATCAGTAGAATTCTATCTTTTATGCTTCGTGGGTTATTAATATCTACAGTTGCCCCAAGTACCAGTCTGGTTGCACTGTAGGAAGGGTGACACATATTTGATTATTGAATATGTTCATACTTTTGTCTTGTGAAACAGAAGTAACCCAAACACAGCAGTATTCTCCTATGATTTGCAAGGAGGAGCTTTATTTTTAGCTCCTATTCATGTAGTACTAAGAGAGTTGGTCTTATTTAAATACAAGGGAAATCTCTAAATGGATAAGTTTAACTTGACTTTTAATTGACATTTTATTCATCCCCTCTCTTTCAATGCATCCAACCATTCACTTAAAAACTCATTCAAAAGAAAATATTTTGTGCCAACTACATCAGGGGGATGAAGAAATTGAATGGTTTTACCAACCTCTGCATTCTGAAATTGACCAAAAATGTAACCAACATGTATTGATAATTACTGGTGATTGGAATGTGAAAGTTGGAAACAAAGAAGAAGCATTGGTAGTTGGAAAATATGGACTTTGTTATAGAAATGACCCTGGAGATTACATGATAGAATTTTGCATTACCAATGACTTATTCATTGGATACAGTTTTTATAAACAACATAAATGGTCACTACACACATGGACTGCACCAGATGGAATATACAGGAATCAAATCAACTGCATCTGTGGAAAGAGGAAATGGAGAAGCTTAATATCATCAGTCAGAACAAGGTCAAAGGTTGACTGTGGAACAGATTATCAGTTGTGCATCTTCAGGTATAAGTTGAAGCTGAAGAAAATTAAAACAAGTCCATAAGAGTCAAAAATATGACCTTGAGTATATCCCACTGAATTTAGAGACCATATGAAGAATAGGTTTGCTAAAAAGGCAGGGAGGCCACATGTTCTGACCTCCTCTAACCCCACAAGAGGAAGACAGAATTACCATCAGAGCCCAAGGCCCATTACTGTGAGGCCAGACATGCTGCCTCCCTCCAGCCCTTTCACCAACCCTGACACCAAC